TCGATACCTCATCCGATATGAAGGTGAATCATATTTCCTAAACCTTATTGGTAAGGGACTTCCCAACCCCGTCCGACTGAGGTAATGTTCATGGTAGGGTTCCCTATGTACTGGATTCATTAGCCTTTTTCTGAGTACCCAGTAAGTCTTTCACATACAGATTTCCATCAACATAACAATCAACCATGCAATACTCATATCTCATTTTATACCTACCTTTCACTTAAACAATAATATAGTTTAACACAGCTAAATAACCAATGATCGGGATACCGGTATGCAATGCAGGGGAAAAAAATAACAAAATAACTAAAAAAGACCCTAAAAATCATTAATTGAATTACGCACAATATAATAGTAAACAAATATAGGCAATATAGGAAACTAAATAGAAAATTAAAATGACAGTGAATTGACCGATTCCGGCTCCACTAGTGACCTGTAATTATTTCTAGGGTTCTCTAATTGTTCATAAAAACACATAATTATTAATCATTAAGCTTCAGTTTTTCGTAACGAAAAAAAGGGAGAGGAATACTTACTTGAATCGGTGTCCGAAATACTGAACTTTCTATTGTGCTTACTAGCGGTCTCCGGATTTCCTGTATTATTATAGTGGAATCCAAAATACTTGTCATGTACCAAAAAATACCCTAAGAATTCAAAATCGATGTAAAAAAATCATTTTCGGTAAATTTTAGGGTTCCGGCAAGGCGGCACTGCTGTGCTTCGGCAATGGCACCATCGCCTGTGGCGGCAGTTTGCCTCGGCTTGGCCATTTTTGGCCAGTTTTGGCTGGTTTCGGTCGATTTTATATATATCCCTGCAAACAACACGTTAGGGGCCTCAGTTGGCCGAAAAAAATAAAAAAATAGAAACCTACTAGCTGTGAAGTTTTTCAGGTACGGCAGCTCTGCCGGTTCACCTTCGCGGCTGGGAAATTTTCTTCAATCAACCTATAGAAAATAGAATGATGAACACAATGGTGAAAAAACCACACAAAACGGGAAACATAAAAGGGCTCATCAGAGGAGGTTGTGGGTTTTGCCCATGGCAGCGCCGCCGGGCTTTGTCCGTGGTTTTTGGCTCACTCGCCGTTCGTTTTGCTCTGATATGGCTACAGGGGTGCTCGGAATCAAATTTCGAGTGGGTAGGAGAAGTTTTACCTTTTTTGGCGATCGAAGGTGGCTCCGGTGCAGCGACAATCAGTGGTCGACTCCTTTCTCCGGCGATTGATTCTTCTTCTCCGTCGAGAGGTTGACGGCTAGGGTTTGGGTTTAGTGTAATGCAAAATATTTATACCAATCTTGCATTAATCTAGGCCATTCATCACGTTTGATCTCGACTGTCTGATCGCGTTTAAAGAAGAAATAAATATGTACCGTTCATCGTGATTTGATCTCAACCGTTCGATCGCATTTAAAGAGATAACAATTCCGGACCGTCCACGCACGTGGGATCGATCCTGGGTCATTCAATCGCAGAGCATGCGGATCACCCACATGGTATCCCGCATAACACCGATATCAGCGCGCCTTGCCACGCAACGTACTCCAGTTCGTCGGGGTTGCTGGCTGGGCAGTCCTACGTGGCAAAATTTTCTTTATTTGCACTCTAACTTCCAGTTTTTTATTTTTATTTCAAAAACACCCATCGAACCTAAATCTTTACCCATTTTCCCAAAAATTATTTTTAATTTTATCTCTAACCTATTTTTTCCCATAAATTCAACAAAAATTAAAATAAATTAATTTAAAAATAATTTTTTATATATTTAAAATGTTAAAATTGATCCCGGGCCAAATTTCAGACCCGAGTATTACAACTCTCTCCCCTTAAAAGAAATTTACTCCATCAAATTTGTCTCCCTATCACTCAATCAAACAGTTGGGGATACTGGGTTCTGAAGTCTGATTCTAGTTCTCATGTGGTCTCTTTTTGTGTGTGATTCTACCATAGGATCTTAACGAAGAGAATTTTTTGATTGCAAAGCACTCTGCTCTTTCGGTCTACATGCCCACTGGTACCCTCTCATAGGACTGATCTTCCTGGAGTGAAAGGGGGCCGTGGGCTAAGATGTGAGAGGAGTCCGAGTTGTACTTGTGTAGTATGAACATATGAAACACATTATGGACTCTGCATAGTTTAGAGGTAGTGTCAGTCTATAGGCGGCAGTACCAATTCTATCTAAGATCTCAAATGGCCCAATAAACTGGGGATTTAGTTTTTCCTTAATGCCAAACCTACTGATTTCCTTGAAAGGGGTGATCTTAAGGAACACTCGATCACATTTCTCAAATTCCAAATCCCTCCTCCAATTGTCCGTATAACTCTTCTGCCTGCTCTAAGCTGTTTGGATATTCTTCATGATCTTAACTATTTTGGTCGTAGTCTCCTCCACAAGATATGGACCAAATAATTTTCTATCACCTACATCTTCCTAATAGATCGGCGATCTGCATGAGCATCTATATAATGCCTCGTATGGAGGCATGTCGATACTTGCTTGCTAGCTGTTATTATAGGTGAACTCCATTAAGGATAGATGATCATCCCAATAGCCCCCGAAGTGAAGAACACAAGCTCAAAGTATATCCTCTAGTGTGCGGATCATCCTTTCTGATTGTCCATTGGTCTGAGGTTGGAATGCAGCATTAAGAGACAGTTTTATTCCTATGGCTTGCTGAAAACTAGACCAAAACCGAGAAGTGAACTTGGGGTCTCTGTTAAAAACTACTGTCACTAGCACTCCATGTAACTTGACTATCTTCCGGATATACATCTTACTATTTTGTCCAAGGGGTCAGTTATCTTGATGGCCAAGAAGTGAGAAGACTTGGTGAACCGGTCAATAATTACCTAAATGACATCATGTCCTAAGCGTGCCCAAGGAAATCTGGTCACGAAATCTATTGTGATGTGTTTCTACTTCTACTCCAAAATCAATAATGGCTGAAGTAGGCTACTTAGGCGCTGATGCTCTGCCTTGAACTGCTGACACACTAGACACTTGGAAACAAAGTTGGCTACCTCTCTTTTCATCCTGTTCCACCAAAATTGGGG